AGAAAATTCGTATTTTGTTTCCAGCAGGCTTTTACATGGTAGGTTGTGTGGTGTGCAACAGCTTCCAACAAATGGAAAATCCAGGAGAAGCCAACATCGTGCATTTATCATGATCCATCTGTTGTATGGGATTCCAAACTGGTTACTGGTCTTTAGTTACTGCTAAAAATATGTGGTACATTGGAAGTGCACTGACAAGAAAACAGAGTTTTGCAAATGAATGATTATTTTGCTTTAAAATTTAACTCCTGTTTTTCAGGAGTCGTGCTAACAGCAACATTCCTGCCTCAAATTACAGCCAAACCATGTGCCAGTGGGTGCCAATAATCTATGGAATGACAGAGCTGATCACTTCATGGATATGGCCTAGTTTGTATTGATTTTTAGTAGTAGATAAACCGAGAATTTGTCTTTATTAGGGTGTCATGTAAGCATTGATGCCACACAGAAATTAATAAAAAATGGTCTTTTCTACAACCTAAACATTGAACAAAACAATAACTACACTGTCAGTACTGTTAAAAACCCCATATATTTCTGGACAATTTTAGATAACTGCAATAAAGCAACAATTGCTGGGTTTGGGGTTCCATATCCCACAAATGCAAACATCTGGTCCTTGTCAGGCACTGAAATCCATGCTGGGAGACTTTGGTGATGCTTGCTCTAGAGAAGATCTTGATATAAGCACTAATGTCTGTGCAAGTGGAATGATGAGATATATGAGCCTAAATGACCAAACTGAAGTTTAAATAAAAACAGGCATTGGCTTTTTTGACCTATGTGCAAAAAAGGGTAGGAAAATATAGCCATTTCTCTGGGTAGGAAAATATAGCCATTCCTAAACATGCATTAATCCCTGAGATGTATTCTCCCCATTTTCTTCTTTTTTTCAAGCAAACCAATTACATTCCATGAATTTGATTTTTACAAATTGTTGCTGTAAAGGCACTGTGGACTAAACAATACAAAAGAAGAAAACTGAAGAAAGAAGTTTGTTTTTTTCTGGCCATATGCTGGCATATAAACAATAAAAGTGACAAAGACACAAATATGCCACAATGGAAAACTATGTGCAGATCCCACACAGTAAATTGGAAAAGCAACATGCTGCATGGTTCTGTTTAACAATAGTGCAAAAATAACTGTAGGAAACTCTGGCTAAGGCGACCCACAGACAGTTTTGGAAGGGAGGCATCAATTGACAAACTACAAGTAGAACAAATGAATTATCTTAAGCCTACTGAAAACAGGAAACCAAGGACACTTCTATTTTCAAATGACATTTATTATCTCTCCACCCCCTCCCCCTTTTAAGCAGAAAACAAAGCTAAATTTAACCCAAATTTTTTCAAGAAACACAATCATTTTATTATGCTCCCATTTGCTGGAAGTATCAAGAGACACTGAATGTAGAGATTTTTTTTTTCCCATCTAAGCCACTTTTTCCATTTGAATCCCCATAAAAAGAAATGTGATCCATTGCACAAAGCAAGAAAACTACTAAAACTTGGTTTGCCATGATCACGTTTTGTTCTGTCACACCACCTCATGCACCTCATCGTGCAAAGGACAGCAGTGAATGCTCTGGTATGTCCCACTACTGCTGCCAACAGAGAGAAATGGCAACAGAGAGAAATGAGCCCTGTCCATGTTTTCCTCACTGAGGTATCCCCATCCCCATATCCAGACACTGGTAATTATGCAACTCATAAAACATAATGACTTTGAGATGTTGCTCTGCTCTGCAAGCAGGTTTAGAAATGCCAAAGTCACTGCAGGGAAAAGAGGGACAGACCACAGGCTGAACCTCACGTCCTCAGGAAGCTGGACTAAGTGTGAGGTGCACTCAGGAACAGAGTGGCTGAATGCCTTCAGAGGATGCTACAGCATTTTTCTGGAATTTTATTTTGGAAAGTAAAACTGAATTGACAGTCACTGGAAAAAAAACAAACAAACAAACAAAAAAAAACCAACACCAAACAAAACAAAAGTTAAAAATTCTAACCTTGAGCTGCCTCAAGTCTGGAAGAAACTGGATGAGATCTGCTCATCTATTAGGAAAAGGCACAGTCCTCACACCTCAGGGAGAATCATCTTTAGAGATAATCAATTGCATCACAGTCACAAGAATCAACAAGTGTAGGTATAGATAAAGGGAACAGCTTTTCACAAAAGCTGTACTTTGCATTTCCATATTCTTCCAATGTATTTCAGTCAAGATATTGTCCAGCTGCCTCATATTTCAACAGGACAGGAATAATCAAGTCATACATGTACCAGAGTCACTGGAATGGAGAGATTCTGTTGTCTAAGGTCTTCTCTGAAGAGCAATCAACCTTTTTTTTTTTTCTCTCTCATTTTGCCATTCCTATTGTGACAAATAAAAACAAAGAACCAGCCACCAAACCCAAGAGTAAAGTCTCACTCTGCTTTCTCCAATGCTGTCAGAAGCACAGTTCCCAAGGCACCCTTCTGCATTGAAGTGTTCCCATGAGCCTGGTGTGCTCTCCCTTCTCCAAGAAAGGCAGGTGCATTATTGCCAAAGCCCAGGAGCATGGAACAGCAGTACCACCATGCACGTCCAGAACAGCAAGATACTGATGAATTTGAGTACCCTTCTAAATAAGAGAATTTGCTCACTCATTTTAAAATATTGCCATGTGACAATGGAAGAGGACATTCAGCCAAAATACTATATGAAAAACAGAATAAGAAAATATTCCAGTGTATATTCCAGACCTATTAGATCCTAAACGTACTGATCCAAGCACAATGCTCTGAACTCTGACACAAAGCCTTGCTGTGGCATCAGACAAGAAACCCAATACCTTGTCTGCATCTGCCTAAACAATGCTGTAATTTATTCATTGCTTAAAAAATACCACAGGTAATAATCCTTTATCCACAAATATCTTGAGTTTGGGGAAAGAGCTTGTTTCAGCCACTTTGTTGGAGGCATGAAATAGGCAATATCATGCAAGATGAGAAATCTGAAAGGAGTATTTAGTGCGGAATGGAAAAACTGCTGTTATCTAACATAAAAAGGTCCAACGTAGTCATGCTTTAATATTTCCCAAAAGCTAAATCATGTTATTCTGAGAACACCTTCATCCCCTCCCAGTCAAAAACTAATTTCATTTTTTGCGATGTCACAAGAAAAGAAACAGCCTCGGTATGGCATATGCAAAATATAAACTTGGTAAATTCTGAAAGACATCGCTCTCATCATCTACCTGATTTTAAAACAGTTTCTTTAAAAATGGTTAGCTAAGCTTTTAGTCACTGTTCTAAAAACTCAAGTCTAAAATGGACACAGAGAAGGTTTGGATCATCCTGCCTTTCCACCTCTGAGACCATAAAGGACAATTGTTCACAATGAAACCAAAAAGGACAATTGTTCACAGAGCTAAGAATTTCACAGGTATTTAGAGGATGACTGGATTGCAACAAAATCCTGTGCAGGACATCTGTTCACTGAACCTCACACCTCATCAACCTAACTTTTAATTTGCTTGTTTCTGCCCCTCCTGTGACATTCTAAGTTGCAGTCACATTTTGTAAGCACCATGAAGGATCTTCAGAAGTTAATTACCACTGTGCTGGGCCTCTTCAGTACAGGCAAAAAGGGAAATGTTCTCTTTCATGGTGGCTTTGAACCGAATCTTGTCCTTAGTGAGTGTCCAGAGCGGAGAGATGCAAAAGTCTCTCTTAATGTATTTCAATGAGGCAAACAGGTGTTGTAGGCACCCTCCAAAGTCAGTTGGGAGGAGATCAGAATTTTTTTTTGGAAATCCCAGTCTCCCTTTATTGACTGCAGAGGAAACCCAGCACAACTCATCTCCTATTTAGACACCTTGTATAAGAACCTAATGCCATGGAGAAGGGTCAGGATCCTGCAGGAAAAGCCACAAAACAGGAGCAGATCTCTGGCAACCCTCCCACACAAGCTGGAGCTCAGTGCACAAGCACCGAGCTGCCTACGTTTCAGTTCCATGTGTGTGAAAAAGGATAATGTCCCTGCCCCAACTCACAAGGGCACAATAAACACGTTAATGATTATTATGCCCCCTGAAAATATGGTAATGAAGGTTGTAAGTATGAGCACCACCATTAGAAATGTTTCTGTGCACTGAGTTCCACTTACCAGCTCTCTCTGTTGTGCAGAACTTCCTTGGGCAGGGATCGTGTGGCAGAACCTGGAGTGACCCTTGGCCTGTGCCCACCAGAGGCTTTGGAGCATTTGTGAGCAAGGGCTGGGCTGGTGCCCCTCCAGGGACACAGATGTGACTCTGCTTGGCAGGGTGTCCACAGAGGATGGTGGCAGATGCTCCTGGTTTATTTTTTTAATTACATTTCACATGCTCTGTGATTTTTCAGTCTCTTCAACTGCTAAATTCCATTACCACCTCCATTGCCCAACCAGGCCCCTTGGCACAGCAAATAAAACTTCCAAAGGAGATCCAAGGGACACCAATCTCAGAGTGCAAAAGTCTTTGGTGATGACCCTGCAGCATCCCCTGCCTAGGTGCAGCAGATCAGCACAAGCAGGAATGCAGAGCCTGCTCTCCAGCCCCAGGAAACAATTCCTTAAAAGCCTTACAAGGTGACATTTTCCACCTCTCTCCCTGCACCACGTCACATAAGGGAGGATACTGCACCCCATGGCACCACTTTTCCCCATCAAGCATTTAACAGCAAAAATACTGTCATTTAAATTCTTGAAAAATTATCATTTTATTTAACTCTGAGATAGAGCAGGGACTTAGAACAGGTCTCCCTTCTCAAGAATACCCTCTCTGATTTGAGCTTGAAGGTGAAATCAGTGAAGCTGTAGAGTGCACTGATGGGAAACAGAAAAATAAGGAAAATGGCAACTATGGCACTAGTCCTTCCTCATGACTAAAAAATCAGGCACACAAAATTGGTGAAAAATAACTGGTTTACAGCTAAAAGCACAGAGGAAATCTTGACTGGGGACAAAACAATATCAACATTACCTTAGAAATGCCTCACCTCAGTCCCAAGATCTCTTCAAAGCAGCTGGTTCAGGCTCTAGAAATTACAATAATAAAAAAATATAATTAAGAGAGAAAATATTATAATAATAATTCTGGAAGATCTTATTAAAAGAGGTAATAAAAGATGCTTTTCTCCTTCCTGTGGCCCCACATCTGCCAAGAAAAGGGGAGGGAGTTGCAGGATGGACACCTGGACATTTGGAGAGCCCTGAACACAGCAGCAGAGGGGCATGGTTTGCTCACCAGGAGATAATTTCTTCTTTCCTCTCCTCCCTAAATGTGATGAAATATAAATTATTTAAAAATTAGAGGCATTTAGAGTAACAGCCCTCCAAATGCACGGTATTTATTCCATCTTTCATTGCCCACAGTTTATGGTATTGTCTGGCTTTGGGTGTGATTTGCTATTTTTTTCCCCTCCTCAGTTTACTCAGTATAAGGCTCACACTGATCTCATCAATAAGAAATGAATTTTGGTAACTTTCAAAACCACTATATTATTTTTCCTTTTATTTGTAGTGAGTTTTTCTTCTCTCAGTGGTATTACTGCAATAAGTCAGTCATTATTTCTTTATGTTTTCCCTCCTTTCTTTAGTATTTCATTTCCCTTTACAGCACATCTCGTGATCACAAAGAAAACAGAGACACTTATTTCTTTTAACAGTTGAAATTGCTGCAAGTGATTTAACTGTCATTTAATCTGATTCCTCTCTTCTGTCTGTGGAGAAATATGTTTAATGTACTGGAAATTATGTTAATAAGAAAAAGCATTATCTCATTTAATGAAATAAATATACAAATATTTCAAAATAAAATAAAGAGGCAATCTTCACTGAGGAAAAAATGTCTCTTATGGTTTGCATAAAATAAACAAATGAGAAAAATTAATGAATACATTGAAATATACTGACAAAAATTATGCCTAAACTCAAAAGGGAAAAAAAAAAGAGAAGGTGACTGAATTGCATCTCACCTAATCAGATGCTTTGTGAGACAACACAGAATGAAGCTCAAAGGATCACAGTAAAAATTATTTTTTAAATGATGTTTTTACCCTAGGCTAAACTTTTCTCCCCTCCTTTTAAAATTCCTCTGTTTTCCTGCCTTTTTTGGTTGCTGCTTTATTTTCATCAATTGGCATAAAAATAATATTTATTGTTTAATGACAGCAATTGCTTCATCCTTTAATTTTCTTTGATCCTGTGTCACAAATATATTTAATTTATGGCAAAGAACTTTGAGCTCTTCTGATTTAGTTAATTGTAACAATCAATAACACTGTTTCTAAGCTTTTCCATTCTGAAGGATGTAAATAGTATGCACTAAGGTTAAACAAATATTGTTAGTGGGGAGAGAAAAACTTGTAGCAATTATGTAATAAAAGCATGACCACTGCAATAGAAACACATAATTAGTGATTTAATTACAGACATCAAAACAAACTAAAGATGTCAATAAAAGAAAAATCTCCTGTGACAAACTAATTTCATTTCCCTGTTCTGCAATTCTAGATCTTCATGTATTTCATTCAGTTTTCTTGTTTTCCAGAAATTAAGAGCTCAAAACCCAAAGAAGAGACTCAGCGCCATCCGTTTGGGTGTGACTGTGGCAGGAATTTGACGAATTCCTGGGATTACTTTCTCACTGGCAGAATCAGTGCCTTCATTGCATCCCACAGTGGATTTTTTTAACTCCCCTTTCAAAGGGCCCAGCAGCGCTGAGTGTGCCGTGGTGCCAGTTCCTTTGGGGAGCTGCAGCCACTTGTGTCACGAACATTCTCAAGGCATTTTCTAAGTGCACCAGTTTCTGTCTCTGCTTCCCCACTCCTCACAAAGTGCTGTGGATCATAATAGCTCCGGCTCAGCCACTTCTGCTACCCGGAATAACCAGCCAGAGCGTGATGTGGAGAGATCTCAAGTGGCTTTCTCACTTGAAATCCAGACTTTTACTTTCCTGCAGTTTTTCTTTCAGTTTATGGGCTTGCGAGTGGGAATTTGAGGAGGACAGAAGTTGTGCAGTGAATTATTTGGGTCAGTATTAAACAGGTCACCTTTTCATTTTTAAAAAGTACCTAAAAATCCTTACAGTGAAATTCTAAACCCACAGAAATCAGAAACAAAACTCCCAGCAGCTTCAGTGGGGATTTCAACCTGTGCTTCCTGAAAGACACAAGGGGCACACTACAAATCCAGATTCACCACTCCTGACAGAATCTTCCATCTTGAGGGCCTGCACCTGATTAATCTGAATTGAAGGCTTAAGCTGCTTTTAACTATTTCATGAGATACAAAACAAATCCTAGAAAATGGTTGCTCTGAAGTGCAGCTTATCGTTTATGTAAAACAATAATCCATTTAAATAAATTTAGAATCACTATTTTCTATACACATATATAAAAACCCCAGACTCTGTACAAACATCAGAATTTGTTTTCTCTGCTAAATTTCAGTTCTACAGAAAACATTCCCTACAGTTTTTGTGATCAGGGTTTACAGAAATATTCAGGAGAGAATAACCCATCATAGTCACAGGTTTATATTTCTAATTCAAGGTTTACCAGTATTTAAAAACAAAAAGCTAAACCCCATTGTAGTTCTTTTATAAATAGAGTGAAGAGTGGTCAGCAGTAGAAATTACTTAGGAAATTATTCTCCAGTTGGGAAAAAAATATGGCACTGTTAATATGCAGAAATGGCTTCAAAGTGCTCTGGGTTGGATCCACAAATGTCCAGCCTCCAAAGCCCTCTGGGTTAGAGCCAAAAATGTGGCTCTAGGTTATACCCATAAAGCAAAGTCAAAAAATTATACAATCTGATATATTCCTCTTGCAATACTTAAGGGAGCTGGATCAAAAGAGTGGAAGCATTGACATTTTTTATTTCAATTTCTTTTGCGCGATCAAAAGACTATGACATGAACAAACCATCCTGTCAAGTTACAAAGAAAGAACCCTAAAATCTCTTTTAAAAAAGGTGTCTGTTTTTAAACTTGCACCTAAAAAAAATCTGTAAGCTCTGCCTGATACAAACCTGAATGTTTTCTCATTCAAGATCTTGAAAGAAAGACATCCTTTTTTCAAAGTATACTTGTACAGCAAAAGCTTAATGTTTTTAAGCAAGATTGAGTAAATCAAAGTTCCTAAAAGCAACACCTTCTTTTGTCTTCTTTTGTTCTAACACCTTTGTCACTTTTACAATTTCTTATCTTATTCTTGTCAGTAAAAAAACAATGTGAGGAGACAGCAAAGCTACTTTAAGGTAGTTTTTCACTGAACACACTCAATATCCTGAATTTCAGCCATCTTGCACATTTAGCTTTTCTTCTTTCAAGGCTAAATCTGGATGAAATCAAACCCAGGACTTGTTCCTTACATGTGCAGAGGAGATCTACAAATAGAGCCCTTTTCCACCCTGTGCTGTGAATAAAAATAAAATCCCTTCTCTGTGGGTACATCTTCCACCATATTTTGGGGTCTATAAACTTGTCAAGTAAAAGGATGGCACAGACAGATCCTCACAAGCACATCTCCAACTCGGCTCCTCTTCCACCCCATCACAGGGTTGAAGACATGGATGCCATGACCAATATCTATGTGGCATCTGCAGAGAAATGAGCTCCTGCTCCTCTGCAATCCTGAGGGAGCAGTTCCCACTGCACAGACTCTGCAGAAATTCACTGATCCCACTGAACTCTATGACCAGGGCCACACAGATTCAATGCCTGTTGCCAGAGGCAAAGGGGAAGCTGCTGGTGCATCTTCCAGGCCTTTTGGATGCCATGGATTGAAGACATTCCTGCAACACCCTCTGCAGCATCACTATGGAGCTTGGAAGCTGAAAGGAAAAGCTAACAGTGTCTTATATACTTCTGAAGTTCCTCCTGCCTTTTTAATGTCATTCCTTTAGACTATTATCAGTCTTTTTAAGCATATTTGAATTTATTTGATTTTTGCATTTTCTCCCTCTGTTCCTTTAATGGAAGGAATTAATTGATAAACCTTTGAAGAGCTCTCTGCTTTCCCACAATGCAATTGGCCGTTTTTGCCTCAAAATAGGAGTCAGACTTCACCAGTCTGAACCTCAGGATGTGCATAAATACTGAATCTAGAAAAATCAAGTAGGTGCTTGAAACCACAAAATGGAAATGCATCTCTTTGAACAGAAATGCAGGATTTCAGTGCCAAACAGTGAATGGATGCACATCTTCACCCAACCTTTTTATTTGGTTTTGTGTTTGTATTTCTTGAAGCACATATTTTTGCAAACTACATTGTATCATTTCCATCTAGTCCACAGGAGCACATCATTAATGCAGCAATACTGAAACACTGAAAATACATTGGAAATATCTGAACTAAAGAGAATTTAGAACCAGGAGGAAGAGAAAATATATGTGGTGCCTTAGTTTTGCAGACCCATTTGGGCTTTGTTATGCAGACTGCAAATCTTGCTCCATTTGATTTACATCAAAGACAGCATTTTTAAACCAACCCCACAGAACTAAAGTAGGAAGTTGTGCCAAGTACTTTAAATTCCTACCCTTGTTTGTCAATAGTGACAATTGATAGCAGACCTAAGTCTCAATACCTCCATCATCCTTGATACTGATTTGAAACTATCTTGATACCTGACTATCAAACTGCTACAAAAAGCATTCTCAAAGATTTGAGAGTGAAAGCAAATGCAAGACACAGCCTTCAACCACTTGAGACCATTGACAAAAGTATGGCCTCTATGAGCAAGCTATTTGTTATTTGCTGCAGAATTCCACACTGATTTATTAAATTGTGACAACTTCAGCACAAGCCATGGTACACCTCTATAAATATATAAATGAATAAATATGGGAGGGTTCCCCTTAAAGGGAAGCTTTGTGCTTTCTTGTTCTCCATGGAAGCTGCTTGTGGTCACATTGAAATTACTGGGGCCTTCACACTTCATCCTTCAAACTTCTGGGTTTGTCTTGCAGCAGTTGCAAGGGCAGCCAGCCTGTCTGTGTGATTCAGCACTGACAAGTGGAGCTGTAGACACCTCA